GCGTGCATGTGTGTGTGTGTGTGTGTGTGTGTGTGTGTGCGCGCGCGCACATGTACCAGTTCTGTGACTTGAACTCAGGGCCCTGTACTTAAGCTTCTTTTGCTCAAGGATCGCTCTTTGAGTCATAGCTACACTTTCAGCTTTTTTGGCAGTTTATTAGACATAAGAATCTTACATAGACTTTCCTGCCCCAACTAGCTTCAAACTTCAATCCTCAGATCTCAGCCTTCTGAGTAGCTCAGATGACAGGCATGATCCACTAGCACCCAACTATGAATAAACTTTTAAAAAGTAAACATTGAAGTCCTCAATATATCCAATCTTTGAGGGACGAAAGGTTCAAGCAAGCTGAGAGCTTCTACAAATTTTCCCCTAAGTTCCAAATTTCCAAGTAGGATAATTGACAAACTCAAGAGAATTGGCAATGTCAGGCTTGGGAGCCAGGGGCGGGGTGAGAGGGAGGGGGATTGTTGTGGTTGTTTTGTTTAATATAGTTGTTTCACAAATATTCAAATTCAAAACCAATAAACTATTCAGTGCACATTTTCTAAGGGTTAGTGGTAGTCTAAACCTCAGGTTCTATGGTCTGAATTCTAGAATATAATCATGTGGAACCTAAAAAGGGATAATGTTGCCTGTTGTGTAAGCCCTGTACGCTATTGGCAAACTAATAGGGAAAAGCTGCTAATCCCTTTATATGACACATAAATAAGTTTTAAAATATAAAATGCATGTATATTTGGAGTGATATTAGGATAGCCATTGACATAAGAGAATGAATGCTTACTGATGTATTATTGATTACCCCCACCTGCACTGCCAGATACTGTCTTCTAAGTATGGTTCTCATTTAATCCCACAGTTTGACTATTCCAATATTATTACATCTTAAACTGGTAAGAAAATTGATTCTTGAGTTGGGTATTTGTATGGTTATGTATAATGGAACCAAAGTTTGATTATCATTCTATTTGATATTGTAATCCATTTATATTAATAGAACAACTTTAATTGGTCTATGAGGTGAAAACAAAATGAAAAATCAACATCAGCCAATAGTAATTAGGACTGCGGGGAAAAAGAATAAAATTCTTAGAAGGAACATAAGGTTTTCATTAAATAGAGACATTTGTTTTGAAGGCCAATTTAAATATATGTTTCCCATTCTATTTGTCTTGACATTGTATTTTTTTGTTTTTTTATTAGCTATTTCCAACTTTTTGTATATTGAGCTAATTTTTATCTTATCACACTTATTCTGCATTTTTCCTCAAAATCTTGCTTAATGAGGTAAGCCTCTTTTATTAACTATAATCATGAATACCTGAATTAAGTGACATTTTCCTCAAAACGGTACTCCACTGCTGCATACTCTAATTTTGCCTCAAAGAAAGCTTTTAAGAAGAAATCTTTGTGTCTTAAAATACCCTTAAATATTCTAAAGCATATGTGCAGTGGAATATGTAATGATTTACCAAATAGGTTGGAGAATATATCACTTTGTGTCTTGTTGTCTCACCCCTTTTTTGGAGCAAAATAGAGCATTAGCCTTTTAATGTTGCTGAGAAGCTTTGCATTAAAGAAATCTAATTTTATTTTCCCTAGTGGAATACTGTACACACAAACACACACATACATATATATGCACACACATACCCAGCCAACCTTCTTTTGAAATGTAGCTTTGTCAGCCTTATCATTGAAGCAGTGTTCCTTGAAATATATTTTCAAAAATTACGTGGAACTTTTAAAACATTTTATTTAGTTTTCTAACTAAAAAATATTGATTCCAAAATAACATTTGCAATTGTAATATTTTGTCATTTTATTTTGTTCATTCAAAATTAATCAAGATTTAAAATTCAAATAGAGTCCTGCCATGCTTAAAATTAGTATAACAGCTAAGCCTGGTCATACACACTTGTGCTACCATGGAGATAAAGAGTTTGAAGCCTGAGGGGGAAGGGCTTGTGTTAGAGGGATGGGGTGATATTGATGGAGATGAATTGAGCTAATTTATTGAATGGTACCCCCTTTGTACAACTACTTGAAGATGGTGAGTATTTTTGTTTAAAAAAAAATCTCAAAGCTGAAGTATACAAAGTTAGTGAGACCCTCTCTCAAAATTAAAAGACTGGGGGTTGTAGGTTAAATAAGTGTAAAGTACTTGTATAACAAACTCAATCCCTGGTACCTTAAAAAAGCATTAGTATAACATTAACTTACTCTGAAAAATCACATTGGGGGGGGCTTAAAATACATTGTTTTGTCATAGATTGAATTTGAAAGGATATTAATAAATTATTTGGGGATATTCTTATTTTAACATAAATGTAGGGTTCTTTTTTAAAACGTTAACCTAGAATTTTTAATTTGATCATTTTTATTCCTAGAAAACAGAAGACTGTTTAAGCTTGAATTTGATAATTTTGACAGTGAACCCAACTAAATATCCTAAATTAGAGTGAACTTAGCTATTTACCCTAAATTTCTAGCATACCAGAAAGTATACCTCCCAAAGTATATTAGCAAGTGGGATTTTTATAAAATCCAGGTTTGTGAAATCAAGAATATTTTGAGATATATTTATATAGTTGACTTATTTAATTAGTTCTTGATGAAGGGCATGTAGCATGTCAAGGAAAATTTAAAAAAAAACATTTTAACCTTGCAATTATATAAAACTGAATTTAATTTGAATCTTGAGTAGCACTGTATTTAAGGTTCATGTATTTATCAAGTAATAACACATATTATGCACAGAATGGGAAAAAGAGGTGGGGAGACAATACTATGGTTGTCTTTTAAAGTGTTCAGCCCAGCTATTTAGGAGGCTCAGAGATCAAGAAGATGGAGGTTTGAAACCAGATTAAGTGTCTGTGAAACCTCATCTTAATAATAGCCTGGTGTGGTGGCACATGCTTGTCATCCAGGAATATGGTAAGCTAAGATCAGGAAGATTGCAGTTCCAGAGCCAGCTCAGACACACACAAAAAGTTCATGAGCCCACATCTTAGCAAAAAAGACTAGACATCATCTCAGCTTTGGAAAAATAGGAGGATCAGAATCCAGACAAAAATGAAGACCCTAACTCAGAAATAACCAGAGTAAAAAGGGCTAGAAGTATAGTTAACTTTTAAAGTACCTACCTAGCAAGAATTAAGAGGTGGTAGCATTCAGCACAACTTTTCTAAATCTATTATCTTGTTGGCAGAATGGAAGTAAAGGAACTTAAAATTCCCAAGATACCTGAAGGAACAATATTTGATCACTTAAAATTAGGTTATCTATTATTTATGCTGTTGAATCACATAACTACTGAGATGTAAAAATGTGTATTAAAATTTTTTCTTGTGTAGTGATCACAGTGCCTTAATAGATTTATAAGTTATTTAGTATGATTTTTTTTTAATTCTAGTATTCCTTGAGCTCCTATGAAGTTCAGGAATTATTCTGGCACCAGAGCTATTTATTTTTATATGTATTTAGGGAGGTGCAGCCCTTGTTTTGTGCCTTTGGCTCTTAGCTTTAATTTTTGATTCAGTAAAACAGTTTGTCAGACTCCACAAAAATTACTGTATTAGCCTAATGAAAATACTTGGTGCGTGTTTAAGGAACAAATATAATTTGGGAACAGTGTTATTAGTAAGAGTCTGCTAACTTTTCTCTAATGGGACAGATAATGTAGATTTTATAAGCCATATCTGTGGCAGCTACTGTAAAGTAAAAGCAGCCATACAAAATACATAATCATGTGGCTATTTTCCAGTCAGATTTTATGCTGAAATGTGGTATTTCTTACAATTTTAACGTCACAAAATGTTGGTTTGAGTTGAGTTATTAAACATTTGTATGCCTGTGCACATAGTACATGTGTGTGTGCACAATATTACTAAGGCTTAAATTTAGAGTCTTGTGCCCTTACTTAGCTTTACACTTGTGGCTAGTTCTCTACCACTTGAAGCCACATCTTGGAGATTAGAGTCTCACAGATTTGTCTGTTTGGGATGGCTTCAAACCATTATCCTTAGATCTCAGTCTCCTGAGTAGCTAGGATTATGGAAATGCATCACCAGCACCTAAAAAGTTTTAAAAATAATTAGTTGTTTAAAAATTCAGAAGTTGGGCCAGATATAGTATTGCATACCTATAATCCCAGAGCTTAGGAGGCTGAGACATGACATAATGAGTTTGAGGCCAGCCTGAGTAACAGTGACCTGTTGTCACAAAACAACAGCAAATATATATATTTGGGGGGGGGGCGGGGTCTGCCGGGCCTGAACTCTGGGCCTGGGCGCTGTACCTCAGCTCTTCAGCTCAAGGCTAGCACTCTACCACTTGAGCCACAGCACCACTTCCGGCTTTTTTCTTTTTACTTATGTGGTGCTGAGGAATTGAACCCAGGGCCTCAGGCATGCAACAGGATTACAGTTATGAGTCACCCTCACTAGCCAGTCAAGAATTTAAAGGGTTGATTATTATCAGATTTCTAATCCACTTAAAGTCAAATTCTGTAAATATGAACTTACAGAAAATGTAAAAGGTCTGTTTCCCTTGAAATTCGTGTGTGTGTATGTGTGTATGTGTATGTGTATGCATATGCATACATGCACACATGCATGTCAGTACAGGGGCTTGCACTCAGGACCTCACACACTCATTCAGTTCTGTCCTTCATGACTGGCTCTCTTAACACTTGAGTCATATTTCCAGTACAGCTTTTTTTGCTGGTTAATTGGGTAGTGTTGACTTTTCTGCCTGGGCTGGCTTTGAACCAAGTCTCAGACCCTTGAGTAGCTAAGTTACAGATGTGAGTCACCCTTGATCTATACTTAATTTTTAAAGTTACAAAACAGGAAGTGTTATTTTCTAATAATCAATAACTACATTTACATCCAAGCATTGTTGAACTCTGGTCCTGAAAAGAAATTTGTCTTAATAATAAAAAAGTTTACATATTAAAACTGTAATTTTACATTATGTTAACTTATTTTCTGTAGACACCAGAGAAGAAACAATCGGAATCATCCAGGGGAAGAAAGAGAAAAGCAGAAAACCAGAATGAAAGTAGTCAGGGTAAGCACAGAAATATCTTCCTTCAGAGACAAGTAGGCATTTACAGTGAGATATTTTGATTTTTAATCAGTATTCTAATTGTTTAAAATATGATTTCATGTTTTTGTGTATTCTATAGCTCTTCTGTGACTTCTGCATTTTTTCTTATATGAATTATGATATTGAAATGGCTTCTTGATTTTAAATAGAAATTTTTAACTATCACTGTAAAACAAGTACCCAAACAACATATATGGGTGGTATGGCATGCTCCTGTAATTCTAATTATGCTAAAGGCATAAGTAGGAGAGTTTTGATATGAGACTTTATGCCAAAACATGAAATCTTACTTGAAAAATAACTAAAGCAAGAAAGACTTAGCAAGCATGAAGCCCTGTGTTCAAACCTCACTACCTTGAAAAAAAACTACACAAAAATAATTTGGAAGTGTTTGTTTTTCTTTATATCCATTTCTTGTATAACTCCTTTTTGTGATAAATGCTAAGAAAATAACTTTGATTAGATCATAAAACCTTTAAAATAATAGACAACAGATAATAGTTTAATGTGGTCACTCAAAATGAAATATGCTAAATTAGGCTCCTAAATATTATAGAATTATTTTATTCATAATATTACATGCTTTGGAGCCAATGTTTAGCTGTAAGATGGGACATGAACCCATGGTTTATCAGTTTACATGTGGTACTGGGATCATGAAATATACTTGTGTCAGCTGTTTTTATTAGGAGAAAAGGGGGTTATAGGCCTTTTCTTGATGTGTTGGGCCTTTTCTCTAATTCTTTAGTGCTTTGAACCTCACTTTGATCTGAGTGCCATTTTATCTTAGTATAGCAACTCCAAGTTGTAGTTAGTGGACTAATAACTTACTTATAAAGATGAATCAAAAGTACAGTTCTTCCCACAGCAGATTAAGAAAAACTCAAAATGGCCCCAAATGGTATGAAGACTTTTGAGTTAGTTGAGCCAACCTTTCTTTAAGATCTTATGGAGGGTTTTTTGTTTATTTGTTTGTTTGTTTTGCTGCTGTTATTTGGGGTGTTTGTTTGTTTGGTTTTTTTTGCTCTGTTCTGTCATCCATGGATCTGTCTGATTTTCTTCTGGTTTAGCATGGCTGCCTAAATTGGATTTACTTTTTTCTACTTCTTTACTAAATATCTGTTTTAGAGAGAAGTTAGTTTAATGTTTGTTTTCTTTCCTCCCAGGAGTGAGCTTCTTCAAGTCAAGTCAAACAAAACTCTTTATTGAATCGATTACGAGGTCATATTTCATTCCAAGACTAGTAATGTCCAACATAAGTAGCATTGTCCTTACATTGTCCTTTCTGCCAAACTCTATATGAAATAGAATGCCTTCCCCTTAAAAAATATAGGCAATGTGTTGAAAGCTTGATACCTGATGAGGACGGAAAAGAGAACTGGGAGTGTGGGCTGGAAAGGAGCCAGCTTCCTCTGAAACTATATGTGCTGTGTATGGAAAGGGGTTCAACATTGAGTGGGGTGCCATGTGACTTATCTCCAATTAACCACCAAAAAGCTGAAAGTAGAACTGTGTCTCAAGTGGTAAAGTACCAGCCTTGAGCAAAAAGAAGCTCTAGGATAGCACTCAGGCCCTGAATTCAAGCCCTAGGACTGGTTACCCCCCCCCAAAAAAAAAGGGGGCAAAAGAAGCAACATACTTTCCAGGACTGAGGTGTGGCCCATGGTAGAGCACTTGCCAAGCAAAGGCAAAGCTCTGATCTCAAACCCCAGTACTACCAAAAAACAAAAGTAAAACACATTTTCTAATTACAATATTGATAGTAAGTATGTTGTCAGTTTCATAAAGATTGTCTTGGTTTATATTAGTCAATCTGGTTTTTCTTGCCATGAATGAATATTTGTCACTTGTCTTTTATTTCTTATGCATTGATTGATTTTCTAAAATGAGAAGATATTAAGCTGGGCACCGGTGGTTCACACCTGGAATCCTAGCTAGTCAGGAGGCTGAGATCTGAGGATTGAGGTTCAAAGCCAGCCTGGGCAGGAACATCTGTGAGACCCTTATCTCCAATTAGCCACCAGAAAACCAGAAGTGGCACTGTGGCTCAAGTGGTAGAGCACTAGCCTTGAGCTGAAGAGCTATGAGACAGTGTCCAGGCCCAGAGTTCAAGCCCCACGACCAAAGAAAAACAAAAACTAAAACTAAACAAAATTAATGTTTTTAAAACAGGGATCCCTTTCCTGAAAGCATTACTCATTATTGCAGTATGTACTTAGCATGAATGAGGCCCTTACTGGGCCTCAAAGTTCAATTTCCAGGCCTCCTTTCTCTAACAAAACAAATGCTCAATGAAATTCTTATTAAAAAATTTTTTTTCTGTTGTTGTTAAAACGGTGATATAGAGAGAGATTGTAGTTATGTAAGTCAGGTAAAGAGTACAGTTCTTTTTGGACAGTTTCACCCCTTCCCTCACTCCATGAGATTCTTAATGTCATTATCTAATTTTGCAGTTATTGGGACTTCGGTTTAATTAAAATGGAATTTGATGGAATTTTTAAAATGTGACTTGTTTAAAGACTATTAATATTTTAATGGCCATCATGACCCTACTAAAATGTATGATTTTAAATTAAATAGTGACTTTATGTGCATTTAGGAAATTGTTTGGCACATTCTTTTTTCTCATGTAATATGTGGTAGATAATTATAACTGGGTTTTAAATCTATACAACTTTTTTTTATATTTTAGGAAAAAGTATTGGGGGACGTGGCCACAAAATTAGTGACTATTTTGAAGTAAGTCATTAAGGATTATTTCTAGTTACTAATTCAGTATAATTCTTCTATGAGCTGAAACTAGTTTCTTTGAGTACATGATCCACTTTTGAGCAGAGCTTTGGTACTGTGTGATATTCTAAGAACATTAAAGTTTACTGCTATATTGGTATGACACATCATAATTTTCAAACTTCTTTCTCACATAATTATAACTACTCACAATATAGGCAAAAGTGGTACTGTGGCTCAAGTGGTAGAGCACTTACCTTGAGCTGAAGAGCTCAGGGACAGCGCCCAGGCCCAGAGTTCAAGCCCTATGACCAACCAAAAAAAAAAAAAAACAATTTAGGCAAATGAGTGTTTCTGTTTAACAGGTGATGAAACTGAGGAAGAAAGGTATAAAGTAGCCTCCATAGAGGCAAACACTCAATGGCAGAACAAAGAACGGAACTTACCAAGTCTCTCTGCTCGCTAGTAACAGTACAGACTTTATTGTATGAATGGGAACATTGAACTGATAGAGATGTGAATCTAAAAATCTCTGGGAAAGTGACTCATTTGGTCTTCTACATAGAAATATTTTACAGTAGAAACCAGTATTACTATTGAAACAATCAATGTAATCTGTTCCATTGAAAAATGCTTATAATTTGCTTTCTGAGAGTGAGAATAGGATGTGCTGATTAGGGGAACATCTGTGTTAAAATAAAAACTTCTTTTAGTATTCCATGCATTACTTCCAAAGGCAAAATGTTTTCTCACCACAAATTACCAGGCTCCCATTAGTTGCAGTTAGTCACTCAATGCTGAGATCATTAAAAAAAAAAAAAAAAAAACTTTTTTTAAATCTAGGCTTGAAATAAATATCTCTTGAATGCCTACTATGCCCTGTACATTGTGTTAACACTATAGATAAAATAAGTGAGATAAGGTTGTTAGGTTGCAGGTTTAATAAACCCACTAAGCAAGCTTTCCTCAAAACTAAGTGACTAAATTTAGAAAAGTTATATGGAAAGTAAACTATACACCCAGAAGAAACCATTATCAACAAATTGTTTTCTAGATATAAAAACATGAGATTGACGCTATGAACAGATTAATTGGTTTCTCTTCATATACACCTAAGTCCTGAACTTTGGAAGAAAGAATTGATTTCTTCAAAGGTTTTATGCTGTTAAAGGGAAAAGACTTGTTGTATACAATTATTTTCTATAGTGTTGTGAACATATGGATGTCTATTAGATATTGTAAATGATTCTATTTTACAATGGTTGATTCACAGGTAAATACTTTCAAATTTATTGAGTTTGGGGACTATATTGATTCAAAAAACAGAAATGTGTAAAGCTTTGAGGGAAGAAATAAAACAGGTTCATACCTTTGGGGTAGTTCATTACTTTCTGTAATAAATTATAACACAATAACAAGCTATAATAACTATAAAGTGATTTTAAGATATACTCTTGTCACTTTCTTATGATTAATAGTCCCTTGTTAGTTTAGGTTTGGGTTCTAATTGACCTTCCTAACCATTTATTTATTTATTTATTTTTGGGTCTGGTCGTGGGGCCTGAACTCTGGGCCTGGGTGTTGTCCCTCAGCTCTTCAGCTCAAGGCTAGCACTCTACCACTTGAGCCACAGCACCACTTCCGGCTTTTTGTTTTCTTTTTTG